TTTTTTGGGGGCAATTCAAGATTATTTAAGGTGTGTGAGGACAGGCGACACTTTGTTCTTGTCTACCATTTTACTTTTATTCCTCCGGCTCCTTTTTGCTGTTTTCTTGAAGATGCAAAAGTTAACATTTTTTTCTGTCACGACAGCTCTTATTTCTTGATTTCGTGCTTTTCGCCAGTTGTTACATCGTTATCAGATGACCATATGTGATGCACAAACATTAATCAGACCTTTCCACTGTGTGTTCCAGCTGTTACGAGAACTGAAACACCCAAATGTGATCGCCCTCCAGAAAGTGTTCCTGTCCCACAGTGACAGAAAGGTCTGGCTCCTCTTTGACTACGCCGAACACGACTTGTGGGTGAGTCTCTGCGCCATTACTTCTAGCAAGAACTGTTCATATGATTAATGAATGACAGAAAACCTCGTGCTACAGAAACGGTTACCTAATGATGTTTACATTAAGATTCAGCACTGTGCCCTAAACCGTTGTCCGTTATGCAAACCTGAACGGATCAAGTAGGTATTTCAGTCTGTTGGTGATCCACAAGGTATCTATAAAAATTTCTCTCTTGAAGTTAAATACTTAAAAAGCCACCAGTGTCTCTGGATTGTTACAAATGTTTTATTTGTTCACTCATATTTTTGGTGCTCTGGGGAAAGTATGAAAAGGAGACAACTGGAGGTGGTTTTGTAGATATTGTGTTTATTCCATCTGATGAGGCATGCATAAGTGAGGCAAACCCTTTCTTTGCTTCACAGCACATCATCAAGTTCCACCGCGCCTCCAAGGCCAATAAGAAGCCTATGCAGCTGCCCCGAGGGATGGTGAAGTCTCTCTTGTATCAGATCCTGGATGGGATCCATTACCTCCATGCCAACTGGGTGCTCCACAGGGATCTGGTGAGTGGCTATATTAGCTTCAGTGCTCTCATTTCCCTTTACAGACACTTACCCACTCCATACATATGTTTCCAAAGGCATTGTGATTAACCAAGGTTATTAAAATTGAGAAACTGAAAGGAAACGCTAGGTATGAAGTTAAATATAATAACATACTTCCTTCTTTTATCTGAAACAACAAAGAACCCCACCACCACCACGTATTTTTATAAATAAAAAAACCAACTCAAACTGCTCAAACTACTAAAGCTAAGCAGTTTGAAAAGCTAATAATCCACTGATACTGGAAGTAAAACCTTCCTGTAACAGGTGTTAGATAACAATTAGGAAATGAAAATAAAATAGTGTGACTATCTTACTGTTAGGAATGAAAATTTAGGGAGAAAATATCTGAACCTCTTATCTGAAGGCTGTCCACTCTACTATATCTACTGCTCACAGAACTCGTTCCCACGGAACGATTCCACCGAGCAGAGCTGTGTTATTTCACTGCCTTTCGTTGTTATGTCTTCGTGTGATGTGTTATGATGATTTTATTTGTTGGAAGAAGCACAATGACCTGAACTCTGAGTGCTTTCTGACTCCCGTCTACCCTTTAACCTGGTTCCAACACACACGTGGTTCCTGTGAGACTCTGTTCTCCTCGCTTTTCCCACAGGGCTTTGGTTGAAGGGAGGTCGCTGTGTATATTACCTGATTTCTGACAGTCTGTTTGGAGATACAATTTTGTTATGCTAGTGCCACCGAAAAGAACCAGTCAACGTGGCTCCAGGCACCTTCTGAGAAAACAGATCTGTCACATGTTAAAGAAAGAAAAAGCAGGACTGGAACAATTTCCAACATATGACTCAGCACTGCAAACTCCCACAGCCCATCTGTAAGTGCATCTCCCCTGCCTCTCTCTGCCTCCCTGCATCTGTCACTCACCACTGAGGACCATGTGCACTTTTGCTTGTGGATGAAAAAGTATAATTAACCAAACAGCAGATTATGTGGTGAAACTTTGATTTGATTACTGCCATTGCTGCTTTGACGTCAGATGGGCTGCACTGAGTCCTTTTTCCAGATAATGCTCTGGTAAGACTGGCTCACTGAGATTACACTGTTTAAGCGAAAGTTAGCTAAGCTTTTGGCTTTAGATAAATCAGGTTCAGAAGTCAAAGGGCAGAGCTGCCAAACAGTTCAAGCATCTGTCTATTGGTTCCGTTTTCTTTATGTCCGGTTGTCTTACGTAATCCCAAACGATCCTTTGTAGTCATGTGGTGTCTTGACAGCACATTATGCAAACCTGAATGGATCAAGTAGGTATTTCAGTCTGTTGGTGATCCACAAGGTATCTATAAAAGTTTCTCTCTTGAAGTTAAATACTTAAAAAGCCACCAGTATTGATTTATCAGTTAAAGGTAAACTAAAGGTAAAGTTAGTCAGTTTGTGCAAGTTAGGGTTTCAGCTAACCTCAAATGACAGGTGAGTCAGCTTTGAGTGATTTAGATGGTAAGTTTAGTGAACACTGACTCAGAAATGACTCTCCCACTGCTGCTCTGTCTGGTTTAGTCAGGCCGTCAGACTTATCGCACTTATGAGAGTTTGTTTTTTATTTTATTAAATCTGTCTTGGATATCAGGATTTCACTGATATCCACTGTAACTGACATAAAGCAAGTGAAAATAAAGCCCCCCCCCCCCCAAAAAAAAAAAAAAGAAAGGTTTTCTACAGTTTGGATGCTGTAAATGCGTCAGTGACGAGACCATAAATGTTTGTGTTCTCAGCCAGTCATGTTATGGCTCCTCACATGTGTTTGTACTGTAGACAGGCCACTGACGTACTCATGTGCACCTATGATGAGAAGGTCCCAGCATGTAAGCTGTAAACTGTCCACTGCAGCAACTGTTTGTTGTCCTCATTCATGCTTTTTTCTCCTTTGATGTTTCTTTTTGTTCGGACCAACCTTTTTACCAGTCAGGATTAAATCTATGAATAGTGTCTTTGCTGAGGGTTATAGCTATCCATAGCCTCTGCTCTAGTTGACTTCATCATCTGTTTGCTTAGTCCGGCATTAATCCTGCACACCCTCACTTCACTCAACAGAAACATGCCATATTTGCTGTTATGTTGTATACAGTGGCCTTTGCCTCAGTTGTCAGATAAATCACACCTTAAAAACAAGACCCTGGGGTAAAAAAGAAAGAAAGAAAAGAAAACAACAACAAACAACTCCAACAAAATTCAGGATTCTTTGTGTGAATCCTATGAAATAGACCATTTAGATAAAATACAAAACACGGTAGTATTAAATTCCTCCTTACAAGGAGGGATGGGAATTGATAGGAATTTAGCAATTCCGATTCCATTGTCAATATCACTTATCAATCCTCATTGGCTCCACTTTGCGAGTTGCCATAATCTCTAAGCAGCATATCAGTGACGTTACACTCATGCAAATCATTACATGCTTCGTGGTGAAATGTTTGTGGATGTTGGAGGTATTTCTCTTCCCTCTCTTTAACAATATAAACCTACAGGCTACAGCCCCACACACCTATATATCTACTTATATGTCTACCTGTATAAGTAGACTCATGATCTTTTTTTCTTAGAATTTAGGTATGAAAACAAAGCCGACAGCACAGAGCGAAGATGAAAACCAGCACTTTAAAGCGATCACCAGAGTGATTCTATTTTAGAAACATGAACAGGTAGAAATGGAGGCTACAGGCTTCAGTTTGTTACCCTTTGAAGTTCAGCAGTGGCTGATTTCGCCACAAATGACGGCTCACTTTATCGCAGTGCTGGGCTGGGGTCAGCATTTACTCAGCTTTAACACCACTCTGGGCTCTTGGCTAGCTTAGTGTTAGCATGCTGTCTGTGCAGGTGCAAGGTGTTAGCAGTTGTTTCTGTCCTGGAGCAGTCTCCACTTTGCCATCGCGCTCTCATTCTTTAGTGTAATAAAAATAAAAGTAATGTAAACTGTGCCACTTTTTTCCTGCTGGAGACACAGCTGATTGTAGTGACAGTCTAAGAACCGATAACCTTATAATTCCTTTTACTGAGATGATAATTATTATTCTGTTACTGATAAATTAAAACACTGCAGTGAAAAAGTAGCTGGAAGTGCACAGGAAGAATCGACACTGCTGAACAGGACAATCACAATAGCTGCGGGCTGCGTCGACCTAATGTTGTGCTACAACCTGATGAGGGTGCACATCAGCTTACGTTGTAGATTATGGCGTAGACTTACTGCTGAAGCATAAATCAGGTGTTAGACCAGCAAACTACAATTGTTTTCGTTATTTGTTCCCTTGATTAGGCCTGCAGCAAGAAATAAAACAAGGTGAAACAACCAGTTAGAGCTGCCGAGTATACGCTGTGCTGTAGTGTGTGTGAACTAGCAACCATCCATCAAATCATGCACTCACAGTGTGCCAGCATGGCTTTAGTAGTCTCTGTTGCTCACAGCAGTTGCCATAGTAGGAAAAACACAAGTGTTAGTAGTAACATTAATGTTGACTCTGTGAGCCTGAAACATGTCTTCAGTAAAATAACGTGTCAGGATGTTTCGTACAGACTTTTATTTTGTAGCACTTTGTAAATTTGTGGAAACCTTAAGCACCAAAGTTCATAATATACACAATATGAATTCTCTTACAGTAGCTGTGTGGATGTTTTGGCTCTCTTAAGGTCACACCAGTCTTATCTACACACCAACATTTCCGGCCCCTCGATTATTTTCGCTGCAGCCGTTATTTTGCTGTCTCTCTGCCAGGGCTTCCTGCCATTGTTGCCACATAACCTCACTCGTAAATTTCATTCTTGTCTCTTGTCATCGGTGAGATTAGCGTCTTTTGTGCAGGTGCCTGGCTCTGTGTCGGGTCTCTGCGCGGGCATGAGAAATAACAACTGAAATTAGAGAGACTGCTCGTAGCAAACATGATGCTACGTTATGGAAAAATCTACCCAAGGCCTCTTACTGCTGTCTAAGTAGATGTGAAAGTCTTCCCATGAGCTGTATTGTGAATACATGCGAGGGGAGGAGCAGACATGTATTGTGCCACACAGGGAACGGTTTTCCTGCCCACTATATCTTTAACAGCTGCAGTAGTTCTGCTGTTGCATAAGCATGTCTTTGTGCTTGAGTGTAGCATGCTCTGACTCTCTGGAAAGCATCCATGTGCTGTGCATTGCACTGTCACAAAGCCCATCCCCCATTTACTCTTGCAGTTACTCCTGTCGTCCCACCCCCTCCCAATCAGAGGTGCTTGCCGTCTTATGTAAGATGATGTCAAGCCCACCGCTCTGCACAGATAGCTGATTCAAGAACCTGACTCTGCAGGCCAAAGCAAAAGGCATGCATTTCCATGGACTGTACCAATAATCACTTAAGAGAGGGGTGGTGTGTGTTAGGGTATTACTGAAGGTCATCTGTTATAGTAACCAGCAGTGCTATACTACATGCATATTACTGTGTGGGTGGCTGTAAGAAACTCATCATGCAAGGCGTGGAATTCTACACAACCACTTTTTTTTTTCAGTGTCTAAAGTGGGAAAGTGAACCGTGTGTGCTTGCACTGAGAAGTTTGCTTTAGTTTTCATTCAGTTTTGCATAGATGAGTTGAATTCTAATCTGGTGTCTCATTCAGATTATAATTGTTAATATTAACCTATTTACTTCTATTATTACCAAGAGGTATTTAATCCACTGACACGAGTAAAACAATGTAATCTGTACACAGCATCTGTGTTTTGCACTAAAACTAACTTATTTCTGCAGTTTATGTGTCATATATAAACTCTTTAATAATGGAAAGATATTGTTGTTTTACCTTTTTAAGATTTTAAGAAGTGTCCAAAAGCAAGAGAGTTTGACTAGAGCCAGATCTGAATTTTCAAAATATCTGGGCTGCTAGTAGCATGCAATTAGCTCTGCTGTATTGAAATATGATGGAAATGATCCAAACATAAGATAATTTCTGATCATATTTCTTTAAAACAGGAGCTTCATGACTGTCTGATTGGTGATTCCTATTGGTAGGACTTATTCGTTGACTGCACACTGATTAAACAAATGTCTGCTGTAGGTCAGATGCACTTTCAGCTTAAGAACTCTACACCAATTATTTCCTTTTGTGTGTTCTGGTGTCTGTGGTTTCCAGTAGTTCTTAGTTGTTTTTACCCCCTTTTTCTAATCTTGTACATCCTCAACTCCTGTCCTCACATCTTAGTCCCAATCTCAGTGGAGGAGGAAAGGATAAGACATAAGGGGAAAGGAATTGTGGCAACAGGGATTTAACAAAAACTTAAAGCAATGTTGGTTAAATATGACATTTGGTACAGCCGGACCATGAAGTGTTCTGTTTGCAGCCCAGTTTCAGCTGTGTTTTCTTATTTCAGTTTTAACATTACTCCTGGAATTTTTTTTATACTGAAGGCCTCTTTTAATCAAAATCCCAGAAACATCCTCGTCGGATCATCTGGTTTCCCTTCACGTTGCGTTGTTACTGGACTGGGGTTAATAAAGCTCACTTTCAAGGGTCAAGTTCTTTTTTTAAAATTAGATGACCTGAATGTTTTCCTGGACAGGCGTGCATTTCCTCTTATCTCAGTGGTCTAGATGTAAATGATAACATGAGTCAGGCTTGAATTCTCCAAGTTCAGCCTTAATGCCTTATCACCAAACAAATTTCCTCATATTTTCATGACAGATTTAATCGCTGCCTTGCTTCAGCAGTCTGCGTGTTATTAATTCACTCTGTTTACAGGTGATTTGTCAGCTTGAGTAATATCTCATTGTAGCAGCATTGGTATTAATACAGTGCTTTTTTTCCTCCCCCTTGTATTTTGCGTCACCCTACAACTATTCGAAACGGTTGCCTGGTGCTCCCTAACCCTGGTTGTGCCAGAGGTCCCTTCTGGCTAAATGAGACTTCTTCCTCCCCGCTGTTGCCAAGCACCGCTCCTAGGGGTTGAGTACTCTCACTCCACACACTGTAAACAAACAGCAGCTACTTGAGGAAAAGCAGAACGAGAGTTGAACCAACCAACTGGCTGCGTGAAAGGATGAAGCATGCTTTAATACTACTGCATACTGCACTAATAGCTCAAAGGGGCTTCATTATCTGGACAGTTGGTCGTTGATGAGTCCTGTAGGCTGTCACCTTTCGCTTCAGCTTGTTTATCAGCTTGCCCACTCTGTTACGTAAGTGTGTAAGTTTGGCTCCTGAAGTGGCCTACTTTTTGATACAAAGATGTAAATGATTTTGTAAAAGAGGGCCGCGTCCCTAAGGACTGGGTTTACAGATCCTCTGTGGGGCGGAGAGTGTTTATTTTCCCCTGGCTCCCGATCCATTTATGAAACTGTCCAAATGGAACTGATTAATTTCACTGGCTGCATTTGAAGGGAAATCTTAATATGGGGGATGTGAAAAGGAATTTGGTGCATGCTTCACTAACTTTGGTGCATATTTCAATCAATTTATTACATCTCCTTATATCACTGTGGTCTGCTGCTCTTTGAAACAGTCCCTCTTGCACTCATGTTTCTACTTTTCAGCTTTTCCTTCCATTAGACACGTGAACTTATTTACATCAAACTTCATTTTTGCATGCTCATTTTGCATTTTGAAGGCACTGGCACTCACTCAGGTCTTTTTACAGAACATTCAAGAAGTAAAAAAAAGAAAAAAGAGTACGTTCAGGCTAGGCATATTAATTCACTTAGGTCTGTTTAGAATTTGAAAGAGGGGCTGAACTCCTCGGGCCTTTGAAGAGACGCTTGTCTTTGTGTTTGCCGATCGTGGGGGTGTCATGTTGTGGGCATGAATAGCAGATCTCATTATTAGTGCTGTTTCTATGGCAACAAAATACGTTTGCCAGTCAGATCTGAGTCTGCCAAGCCAGAGGGTTCACATTCACTCAAACACCCAGGGAGACAGTTTGACAACAAGCATTACTGCATCCTACTGCACGACAAGGTAAACTTCAAAAACATGGGCCCACTGATATTTTTTGCCCTCTGAGAAAACGTACAGAGGTTTTCCGATGCATTTTATATCCTCTGGTAATTCAGAGACTTAAAACCACTGTGCTTACAACTGCAAATTATATGCAAGAAGTTGAGTTAGCGAATGGTCTGAAGAGCAGTGAGAAAAATACATCGGCCTTCATGTGTTGCGTCCTAGATGCTGTGCCGCGAGCCCTGTGGCAAAAGGCTGAACCACACTTCTTCATGCTCCACATTCCTTTCTGAAGAGGAAAACACAGATAACAGCATTCAAAGCTGTTTTAATTACTCATTTTAGCAATGCATCCTGTGACTCTGAAGGGTGTTGTATGCATTGGTGGCCATTCAGCTTTAGGGGCCTCCTAATTCCACTCTGATCCATCTAATTTTCAGCTGGGGGAGTAAGCAACCGCCGTCAGCCAACAGGCTCAGAGAAATCCAGTGAACACTATAAAATTAACAATTTGTTAATTAAATGTCAACGTTGAGCGTCTAGTTTGCTGTGCTGCAGTAACTACTGTTATATTTACTAAGTGAAAATGTAATAGGTTAATCTTTCCCTATTTCCCATCCCAGCTATATACTGTTTACACAGTGGACCAGTTTCACATGTTGACGTCTGAATGTGTGTGAGCCAACAGCCTCCTAATTTTCTGTTTGGGAGATGCTTGGCACTGTGTGACATCATAGAGGGGATATCCCTAATATGATCATCAGTGGCACATGGCACTTGTTGCCCCCCACAGAAGGCCCACTTGCCAACAAGTGAGTAAGTTGCTTAAAGTGAGTGTAGCCTTAAAGAAAGTTAGGCTAGATCAGCTTATTTCAAGCAGAGAATGAACTGAAGGGCTGCACCAATGCCCAGTATAAGATAACTAGGGATTATTCCGAGCAGTGAATCATGCAAAGCTACTCTAGTAGCCTTTAGTAATAACATCTTTACAAAAATACTTTTTTCCCACTTTTGCCCAAGTGCTTTCTCTGGGCTCTCTCTGTATCATTGTAGGGTCTTTACCTTACAATATAAGGTGCCTTGTGGTGACTGTTGTTGGGATTTGGCGCCAGATATATATATAAAACTGAATGGAATACTCTCTGTGCTGCCCTATCAACAAAGGCAAAAATAAATCTAAAAAAGGAAGTCAGTGTTCTTGTTCAGTTTGCACTATTTCATCACTTGAACAGGAGAAGGACTAATCAGTTTTGGATCAAACGACTATATCTGTGAAAAGCTTCACGTCACGTGTTTTAGTTCTCCTCACCTGTTCATTGTATTTTAATTTAATTTGTTTATGATTTGTTCTTTGCCAAAGTGAACTCACAGTTCTAAAATTTAACATTTGTGGTTAAACGGTGGTTAAACATCATCTAAATGAATGCTTCTGAACTACCTAACATCGTTGGTCTAGGATGTTTTTTAAGGCTTGGACCTAAAAACAAAAAAGAACTCAACCTGTTCTCCTGTTATTGTGAAATGTACTCAGCCTAACAACTAATATAGGATTTTAAATACCAATATCAATTGGGTGATTTGAAAAGCCACAGCATGTGCTGGGCTATGGCTTGTGTCCACATAAGTGGCGGCAGTCAGCTTGGTTGGCTAACAAAGCTTTTACTTCTTGGAACTTGTGTGGTTCCAGTTTCTCTCTGGAAACCAGATGAACACACCCAGCTGCTTGAGCGTGTTTGACTCCATTCCTGGGTGTATGATCACTTGGCTTAAGTGCACTCCCGGAAAAAGGCTCACTGACATAGTCATGTGGTTGTGTGCTTCATTACAAAAACAGGACAGTCAATAACCACTCAACATGTTTCTGCAAAGGGAACCACTGATACTGTAATACCACGGGTATTCTGAACGTATTATCAGTCCAACTGTGTGTTAGAACCATTTACATTTATTGTACTTCCAAGTTAAAAACAGAGTGATTTTTAGTATACGCAACACCTCGTAATGTTCTGTCTCTTTCTCCCACAGAAACCAGCTAACATCCTGGTGATGGGGGAAGGCCCCGAACGAGGAAGAGTTAAAATTGGTAAAGTAGATTTAAAAAAACATCATTTAAACTGCTTGACTGATTTGAAACTTACACAACCTTTAGGTACTTGTGTCAGCACGAAAGTGGATCAATTAGGTTGTTGACGTGTTTGATTGTCTGATAGCCACAACGTTTAACCTTGTCCAGAGAGGCTGACAGGAAGCTCAGATCAGTCCTGTTGCATAAGCCAGCTGGCCAGGGGAGTGTTGAAGGGTAATGCTGCATTGCTGGCATCTATTTTTAAACCCCGTACTCCCAGTAATAGCATAGAGTGTTGTTCCAGTGCAGCCAGAGTCTTTGCAACTGGTGCTGGTAAAAGTTTTACTTGAATGAACGCCACAAGGCTGCTGTGGTTTAATAAATATGTTTAATATCTTAATAGTTACATGGAGCAGGATGTTCATTTTATTCATTTCCAACTTTCATTCATTCATTTTTTAGGAGAATGTGAACTAAGTATCAGAAATCACATTCATTATAATTGTATTTGAATGCACGTTGGTTAAGCGAACAACTTTTTCAGCCTTATTTGTTCTTATTAGATATTGCTTTACAGTCAGTGTTGTATTTTCTGTGAACGTTTCATTATGAATCATCATCATCATTAGTATCATTAGTAGGCAAATGCAAAACTCTGTACAAGGCTCATCCAAGAACAGTGTCAGTGACAAGTTTTACTTTTAATTCTAATTAACATTTTAATTATATTCAGTAAGACCTGAATCTGAAACTGAGCACATTATTCATCATGATCTCACCTCACTCATTCTATGACCTCAGAGTTTACTGAGGTCAGCCGAGAGGTGTTTTCCCATCAACTTCTTTGTACAACCAACCAGTTGCCCCCTACTGGCCATTACAAAGAATGCAGATTTAAAGGATTTCTGTAGTCTTTCCATTTTCAGACTCAGATTCTACCTCCATCTTATACATACAGTCTGTGATCAGTTCTATGATCAGTACAATGCATCTTTAAAGTCATTAAAAAAACAGTGAAATGTCCAATTAGCATTGTCCAATATTAGCATATTTATTTACTGCGCGTATAGAAGTTGGCACAATAAGACTACCCATATGTGGTATCCATATAAGACTATAATCCCACTTCTGTAGATCCCAGAAATGTGACTTGAAAAAAAACCCCCAGAACTCTTGCTCTTGGTGATTGCTCAGGTTTAGTGGCAGCTACAGAGGTGAATGTAAAATGTGGAGGGGTCATGTCCCCCACTTCACCAGTGGAAATAAAGCTGATTCAGAATAGGCTGCCTTTAGTCTGTCATTTGTATTTGAGCTACACAGTGTCACATTTTCTTCTTCTCATGCTGTTGCCATCTAAACACGACTAATTTGATAAGGATGGATTTACGTTCCATATTACTCAGTGCACTCATTATTGTGGTGCTTGATTATCCTTACTGTAAGTTTTCTCTGATGTAACTCAAACCAACAGAATGCTGGTGTTTTGAAACTAACCACATTTGATTGATAAGCCAAGGACACTGCTCACTCATGGTGGTAGTGAAAGCATATCTTGCTTAATAGTGTGCTCCATTCGAAGTGGGAAGTCGGAATTCCAATTTGCAATAGCAGTCCTTCCAATCCCAACTCCACAATCCAAGATGACAGCAGCAACAGCAGGAAAACTTGTAATCTCTGCAGCCACTGGTGTGTGTTTGTGACTGGCTATTTAAAAGCCATACACAGACCACTGACCAGGTTCTAGGGGAGCTGTACCTTATTCTGCTGTCTGTTAGAAAGACACAGGAAGAGAATCTGTTTGTGCCAGTTTCCTGTTAATCTTTACTAGAATGAGGCAGAGTTAAATATTTATGTGTAACTTTTATGTTTTCTGTTAAGGTACTTTTTTAACAGTGGGAAATTGCTCTATTTCTCACATTACCGTTTTAGCAAGGGATTTTTTTGCTAAAAGGAAAGAATACTGTCTTTTCATGCTAAGTAGAACAGATGTGGTTTGACATTAAAAGCCTGCCTTGTTCAGCTTTACAGTTGTGGATGTTTCATATTTAGTTGCGGTGTGAGAGACGCCCGAGGTTCTGTCTAGAACCCGTGGCTCTGACAGCAGCCTTGAACATGCATTTGTATCTCTATCTGATAATGCCTTTGTTTGCTAACTGCGTCTATCTTCTTTCGCACCTTCTGTAGCTGACATGGGTTTTGCCAGACTCTTCAACTCTCCGCTGAAGCCGCTGGCGGACCTTGACCCCGTGGTAGTGACGTTCTGGTACAGGGCCCCGGAGCTGCTGCTGGGGGCCCGGCACTACACCAAAGCTATTGGTGAGTCACACAGATGAAAAAAACGTAATGCTCTGCACCAAGGCAGGACTTTGATCCCTGGCTGTTTGCTTAACTGCATCAGGTTTGTGTTAGTTGACAGAATTAGCTGTGATTTTAGAAGCAGGGTCTCTTGGTTTACATGCACAGCTGATAAGTTCAAAGTACTCATGTGATCCATGGACATCATCAGAATAAATCAATCGTGGAGCACATGTTCCATTATAATCTCAGTATCTTACATCTTCCCACATCAGTCCATTGAATGGAAGTCGACTTAGGCTGTTAGCAATGACTCACCATTGCATTGTATTCACATCACGTAACATGTAAGTGTCTTGACATACAAAAACAGAACATTTAATTCAAACAAGTTTAAAAGAGGAGCCAACAACTCTCCCTAGTCGGGCTTTGAAAATACATAATAAATAATGCAGTACAACAAGGAAATGGACAAAAAACAAACAAAAAAAACCCCAGACATGCACCAATCAGCTGGCCAGAGTATAGAATCAGCTGATTTTCCAGCTTTCTCCGCCCTGTGTGGTGACCGGCCGGTCAGCCTCACGTGTGTCCGATTATGAGGCGGCCCATTTCACGCATGCACAAAACGTGCAGGGCAGCGCAAGCAAATAGATGCACTCCACTGTGTCACAACCACTGTGGAGGATCCTCACCGTGAGGGTAAAAGTTCTCCAAAATAGCGACCACCATGAAAATGTTTGCAACGAAAAGACAGATGCTTAAATCATCCAGCTGACATTTTCTAATTTCAGGCAACGTGGCTAAAATTATGACGATGAGTGAAAAAGAGAAAACTGTCGATATTTGGTTATCTGGTGAAGTTATAAACATACTGGAAAAATGATGCGTGTAACTGACATTTCTTTTTCTTTTGTTTGGAAAGGTAACATGCCAGGTAGAGCTGAGCATACAGCAGCCTGTGTTCATTACATTTTTGCACCTCTTTCCAGTAGCAGGACACTTCATTTTCAGTTGTTTCAGTGAGAGAAAATTGTGCAACATACAGTTGTTTAGTTTCAGTTGTGTATGTTGTCAGTTCTAATAATGAGGAAAAAAACAGAATTGGTAAGAAATTTTGTTTAGGTAGGTCACGCTTACAGAGAAATGCAGAATCTACATTATAAACATTATACAGAAAAATAAATACGTCACATCATCCCAAAAGGTTGATTCTGTTCATCTGGACGTAGCATTTTCAATGCAGGTAGTTAAGCAGTAACACTAACATCAATATTCCAGCAGAAAAAAATGACTTCCTGTAATCCAGGAAGATTTAGCCATTGTAGCTAGTGTATCTCCACAATACTGAGACTAAGTGTTGTCTGTTTACATGTGTGCGTGCCTCAGACATCTGGGCGATTGGCTGCATCTTTGCGGAGCTGCTAACATCGGAGCCCATCTTTCACTGTCGCCAGGAAGACATCAAGACCAGTAACCCATTCCATCACGACCAGCTGGACAGGATATTTAGTGTCATGGGTTTCCCTGCAGGTCTGCACACACACACACATATACAAGAGATTGTTTAGTGTATCGATAAAAGTGTTAACTTAGTCACGTGCTTGTGTCTTTCGCAGATAAAGACTGGGAAGACATCAGGAAGATGCCAGAGTACCCCACACTGCAAAAAGACTTCAGGAGGACGACGTGGGTGGCCGCTCTAATGACCTCTCTATAATCGGGGAGCTTGTAGACTTGTAAATGAAATATCACATATGCTGTCATTTGTCATCCAACAGGTATGCAAACAGCAGCTTAATCAAATACATGGAGAAGCATAAAGTGAAACCAGACAGCAAGGTGTTCTTGTTGGTAAGTGCACACACACACACACATATATCTTAGTTCAGTTACTTTAGAGGCATTATGTCCATTTCCTGGTGACCAAACCTAACTGTAACTGCTAACTAATTAACCATTAAACTCACCTTAAAAGTAATAAACTTTAAAGGGTCATCGACTGGGCTGTTATTCCCCAAATGAGGTGCAGGTGCACACAGTATAACTATGTAAACACGTATACTATTACTATTAATACGTAATAAAATCGTCTTATTTTGAAAGTCCACTAATCAGGAAGCCCTGGCCCCACCTTTTTTTTTTTGTATTTTCCTATCGTACACTGATCAGGTGTGTGTGTGTGTGTGTGTGTATATATAGATCTTGTAACCATGTGTATTTTTCTGCCTTCAGCTCCAAAAGCTCCTCACAATGGACCCGACTAAAAGAATCACATCAGAGCAGGCGCTGCAGGACCCGTACTTCCTAGAGGACCCATTACCAACCACTGAGTGAGCCTTAGTAAACTTTTGCAAACTTTAATCAACACAGTGTTTCGTGTTGGTGCTTCAATCACTAATTTCATCTGTTTTCTTCTAGTGTGTTTGCTGGCTGTCAGATCCCCTACCCCAAACGAGAATTTCTTAATGAAGACGAGCCAGAGGAGAAAACAGAAAAGGTAAGTGTTATCCAGTTATCCTGTGCCTTAGACTGTAAGGCAGTCTAGCCGCTGCCTTACAGATAACTTCACTGGCGGCGAATGCAGCTTTTAGGTTATTGCTAATAGTTACATGGCTACATTAACACCTCAGAAACATCCTCATAAAGATTGGGATGTCAGTCTTTGAGATGCTTTGTTGTGCTACTGTTCATGTGCTAAGCTGTTAGTGAGAGAAAGGGCTGTGTACCCGCCTGTCTGCAGCAGTGCCGAGCGAAGCTGCGTGTGAAGACGGCACAGTTTGTGGCACTGCTAATGTGCGAATACCTAAGCTGATATTAATGTTCAGCACTAGAGTATAGATATTTGGACAACCCTTCTTGGTATATATACTGCCTGCAGTATCTGCATGGTTAAAAAAGTACCGTCACATTTTCAGAAACTAAAACATCGATCGGTATTGTGTCAGTTGACTTAACGTCCCATCTTAAGTTAGTTGTCAATGGGGTCTAATGTGGCAGTTTTTGGTGTATTTTATGGGTTAATGCGCGGCTGTCCCACCTCACAAAGTCTTGCATTTATTTTTCAGGCTTTTTCTGTAGAAATTTTGGGGACTGTTAAATTGATAAAGTCTTAATGTACAGCTTTTCACTAGTGGATTGTACTATTGCTATTCCAAGTGGTAGCTCCAAATGTGTCCAGGCACTTTCCCTTTCAGCCATAAACAACAGATATTGTTATCTACTGGAGTGATATGAGGTTATAGTACTACTGGTTCTTAGAAAGCAGTATCTTAGTTGAGTCAACAGTGTCCCTTGAGTTATTTTTACAGTGTAATAACTCAGCGCAGGCATTTAGTGGCGACTTTGCCAGAGGCAGGGACACACTGTACACGGTGTACACAAGTGCATGAGGAGGCTGACCGTCCTTGTGCTCTGTGTTTCATTGTTGCTTTGCATGTAGCTTAAAAAGCGCAGCCTTTTTTCAAAGGCGCTAAGATTAAGATAAGATTTTTGTTGTGAAATCTAATGAGAGAGTGAGCACTGAGGCAGAGGCCGATGGCTCCATGTGACCGCTGTTCCTACATCATATTGGTAGCTGCTGGCTGGAAAAGATCTGAGCTTTACACCAGAGAACAGAGTGTTTGAGGAGCTCGGCTTGCACTGCTTTGGTTGGACTTCCTGTCAGCATAAAGTGTGGACATGCACAATCAATAATAGACAACATAAACAAAATAATTTGGCTGCTCCAAATCAGTACAACACCAAAACTGCTGATTGCAGACTGAAGTGAAAGCTGCTGATTTTATGAAATTGCATGCAGGATTACACATCATGCTGTACATTCATACTAAAATACACTAGCCACTATATCTGCCATTATATTGACTAAATGCAGTTTTTCAGATATTTTTGATCCACCATCTTTCATCCTCACCTGATGAGGCGTGATCTTGCACGGCGCTCCAGATCGAGGACGACTGAAAATTAGTTTATATTTCTTCCATTTAAAGAAATCGCACCAACAGTTATCATTGTCTCACCAAGCTTCTTGGTGACAGCCTTGTGCAAGTCTGATATCTTTGCTTTGCTCTTGTTCATGGTGGCAGAGAAGCTGGAATGGAAGACATTGATTCTGTGGACACACGGGGACATGTGCAATGTATGGGAAATCCTGCTGGGTTGTAGGGGATCAAATACTTATTTCACTCAGGGAAATGTAAATGTAATCAGCTTCTAGCTTTTCTGGATTTTTGGTTGATATTCTGTCTCTGTTAAAATGAAATAACCATAAAAATTAGAGACTGTTTGTTTGTTTGTTTGTTTGTAAGTAAGCAAACTGACAAATTCAGCCCACTGTAAGCCGATCATGGGATGTTTTTATTTTCTTTTTTCAAAGAAAAGAACTTGTTACTTGATTTACCAAGGTTTGTGGCACAGAATTTTCTGCTTGTCTTAATTGTGCTTGATGGTGTTTTAAGGGGTGTCATTTATTTGGATTGAAAGGAGGAAAGATAATTGTGCCACTGGATGGGTCACAGCTGTGAGTGCAGTGCCAAACTTTGGCTGTGTCCTACAACTCTTCACTGGGTCCCTACTGACTGATTTCATGGTCTTATGCTGTCTCTGGAAAGAAACCTGTGCCTATGCTCATTATTCACTTTCTCACGGTAGCTCATATGCTTGTAATCTGCCGTGTTCTTTGTAGAATGCTGGTCATTGTTGATGTGACCGCCTTCATTTTTGTATACAAACAAGCGGATTGTTAGGGGATCGCCTCAGAACTTTCCACTCCCATCAGCGCATTTTTGCGACTGTGGCATCATGCTAATTTGTCCCACTTAGTAAGTGTGACCCTAAAAGCCCCGTGGTGGCTTGAAGGTCAACATTCTGCACACTGAATTCCTGAATTGTAGCCATAAACTGATAAATTCACAACTGTGTCAAATTTTTACACCAAATTTCAAATTTTGACTAAATTTTAAACCACATAATTGCCACATAATGAGCCAGAACGTAATGAATGTTTGCACCAGAAACTGGCTGCAGATTTCTGTGAACCATATTTAATAATCACCTGAGGAAGGACTGAACTGTTCACACAGGGTGTCTCATTCCCTCAACTCAGCCACGCATCCACATCCAAGGGCCATTTGGGGCATCTCTGGGGTATGGCTGCTGGCAGAAACCATAACAATGATTTTGGTCCGTCATTGCGGTCTCGATTTTTGAACTTGAAACCAGACTTAGGGCTTTAGGGCCTGAGCCAGCAGCATAAATGGGCAACAGATTCTCAAAACATGGAAATAGATATGTAATAGCTGCTTTATTAACAATATAGACGGACAGAGAATATGAGCTATCCTTACTGTCTCATCCTCAGATGAGTTAGTATACGTTTCCTTCCTTCCTTTGGCTCATTAGGTTAACATTTCTTGTGGTCTACTTAAGTTTTTTTTAATGCGTCCTTAAAACTCTAAACTCATGTTGTTGAGCTGCATTTCAATCCAGTCATCTGAGTGGGAAAGTGGGTCACAGATGCAGAAAAGAACAACCTACAGCTAAACATAGAGCAAAATCTTGGTTTCTTGTTTTCAGCAAGAACCCGAGATCATTCCACACACTCGCTTTTAGTCACAGCGTCTCTCTTTCTCCACTCCATAAATCCCAACCCACTTTCAGCTTTGTGTGTCTTTGTGCAGAACCAGACCCAGCAGCACCAGCAGACAACTGGCCAGGCTCAGGCCCAGAACCAGCAGCAGACAGCAGCCCAGCAGGCCCCCTCCCAGCAGAGCTCTGCTCAAACCAACGGCACCGCCGGAGCCACGGGGGCCACCACTGCAGCGCTACAGCACGGTCAGGACCAGGGGCCACCCAACAAGAAACCTCGGATCGGACCCTCTGGGGCCTCCTCAGGCACTGGGGTGCTACAGTCAGATTACCAGGTCAGTACAATATTATAGAACAAACACCAACACCAACATTTTCTGGTGAAACTGTTCATTTGTCTGTACTTTAAAACTCTATTAAATGGATGGTAAATGGCCTGTATTTGTCCCTAAGGACCCCAAAGCGCTTTACACATCCAGTCACACACACATTCACACACTGGTGATGGCAGCTACATTGTAGCCACAGCCACCCTGGGGCGCACTGACAGAGGCGAGGCTGCCGAACACTGGCGCCACCGGGCCCTCGACCACCACCAGTAGGCAACGGGTGAAGTGTCTTGCCCAAGGACACAACGACCAAGACTGTCCGAGCCAGGGCTCGAACCGGCAACCTTCTGATTACAAGGGGAACTCCCAACTCTTGAGCCACGATCGCCCAAGAAATGAGTCCATTATAATCATCTCCTGCTCCAGACTTTCATTCTTGGACTCTATTAGTTGCATGAGTAGCTGTGCATGAGTTCCAAGTTCTCCTTTGTAGTGTTATTCTGGCACAAACGTGAGTTTATCATCTGACTGAAACAAGCTGTTTTAGCTGTCTTCCTCGTCCCTTCAAACTAACTGTGTCCTGATTGGAAGATGAGTGCAGCTTCTGTGCTCATAGTACCTGAACCCTGAAACGATCATAAAAAACTGTCTTAAACCTAGTGTTTAGAGCAGGTTGAAGGCTTGTTTAATATGAACATCCCACAGTGTAACAGTATATGTGAAGAAAAAAATATATATAAGCATAAAAGGTCGACCACAGCAGGATGTACCATTCCAGCACTGAAAATGAGACACTCCAAACTCCTGTTTGAGTTCAGTTTGATTGCAAGTACGTGCTTTAAGAAACTGACATGATCTTCAGAAGGAAAAAAACCTGCGTTAGGCAGTTAGGATAGGGAAATCTAAACGTATTAAGACATGAACCAACATGTTGTTGGGCTGAGAATGCTTACAGGAGGCTGCAGGCTAAAAAATGTATACTCAAACACTCGGATACCAGACAACAACAAGATGTTGTTTAAATGATAAGGACTGTACAGAGCTGATATCAAATCACAATGGAGCCTGTGAGCTTTTGTTTTCTGCTCAGGCGCCTCCTGTATCGCCGGCTCAGCTCTTATCACGAGGCCAAAGAGACAACAGCTCTCGGCCTGTGATGAAGTGAAGCTGGATGCCAAAGTTTGGCATATGACATATTTTGACTTTCAAGGAGAACCCGACTGCTGCAGAAAATAAATGTGATCAGCGACTAATCAGCAACGTATGGGGTTAGCTCAGGTTTGAGTGTTACATGACCGCAGGAGCAGGGAGATCATGTGTCAGTACTTAACAGAGCACGGTGTGATCTAAGTGACTGCTTTGACCTCTCCCGCTTCTGTATCAGCGAGGCACACAAGTATATTGCATACAGAGATATGCCTAGTTGCAAGTGACACAGCTGGTGGCTGTCAGGCCTCAGTTGATGTATAAATAAACTGTCGCAGTGGTCAGACACATCACGAGTGTGGCTATAGCTGCTACTGTCAGTGTCCTACTTTTTCCCTTTATTGATCTCTATCCACATATATTCCACCATGCACCACCCACCAATCATTTCCCTAATCTAGAACAGTGTAGCCAAGAACCCACAACTGTGGTATGGAGGCATGCAAACAGTCGAGGTCTCAGATTCTCAAAGCAATATCCAGATCGTTGAAATTTCAGCACCAGTACTTTTTACAGTCCATGTCTCCAAGCATGTAAATGAGACTACTTTTTTTCATTACTAGTGAAATAATCCCAGAGCCACTGAACACACAGGGAAATATCATAATCCCAATTTTTTGAAATCCATGTGGAAAACAGCTTATGAGGAAAGGTTAATTAGCTGCAGACAACTGAATCTGGAAGGAAGTGGCGCTCATTAGCGCAATGTCTGGATGTAGCCTTAAAAACACAATATTTTGCACACCTCCAGAGTCACTGTTTGAATGTTTGCTGATAAGAAGTCTGGTGATTTAGCGACTGCGTCTCCACTTCTCTCTCTCTTTCAGCACTCTGGCTCCCGCCTTGGTTACCAAAGCAATGTCCAAGGTTCCACTCAACCCCAGAGCACCATGGGATACTCATCATCAACCCAGCAGAGCTCCCAGTACTCCCACCAGACCCACCGTTACTGAGGATCCTTGTCACTCCCTAACCAGCAGAGGAGTCAAGCTCCTCCTTGTCTTCAGCCAACCCTCAACAACCTCAGCTCCCCGGCTCCCGTGTCCCGGTTGGACCCTTGTCCCTTCATTACATCATTCCAACTCCAGTCATCCTTCTTTTCAAACTGCCCTCACCTTTGACCTTTCGCCCGACAGCCTTCAGCGGCACTGTAACACGAAGGCTGATAAACATAGGAACCAAACGAAATCCAATGAGAAAACAAATTCTGCCTCATCGGCGCGTTGAAACACTTTTAAATCGACTGGAAAAAAAAAAGGTGTAAGATAGATGTCAAGGCGTCTCACACACAGACTCAGAACCGTGGCACTTACAAACACAACGTTCCTCACCAGGAAGAATCGCAGCTGTGTTCAAGTATATTATATAGCACCTTTTTCTATTTGAGTTTTTTTCTCCTGCTCGTTTGCTAGACTTTTCAAGTTTAACTTGATAGTTGATGTCATTATAAATATTGTTACATACAGAAGCGATCAGATGTGAGGCAACTTAAAAGGAAAAGCCCTTTACTGTCATCTCTAGTGTATAATTATCACGGATAATCAAATGACGATAAGCTAAAGTTTGAGCTAAACCCAACCTTTTAAGAAAAAAGTTTCTACAAAGAAAAAAAAACTCAGCTTTTAAGCTGATGTCATTGCAGGGAAATATAAAAACAATTAACTTAAATCTTGATATTATAGGGTTTCTATATTTAGAAGTGTTTATCTAGATTTGGATTTGGAATGTAAGAAAAGCAGTTGTCTTTTTACAGCTTCTGTATAATGTGATCACGCCATCACTTTTAGAAGTAAGAACCATTTAACAGCTGAGCTTTGCTTTCTGTGATGGCAGCGTCTTCGGGAGGTTTTGACACCTCTTGTTGGTGGCCGGCAGCTCCGGAGTGCGTTCTTGTTCGCTGGTTTTCACTTTGCTGTGACACCTGTGTTATTTTGGACCCTTGAAACATTTAAGGTTTCTGAAGATGCGCATAATCGTACAGGGCAGCTAAACAGTACGCTTCCCCCCCTCCGACATATGCTTCTTGAGACTGTTACTGCCTGATGTCAGATTGTTTTTTTTTAAGGTTTTATTGTTATCTCTGTTGTCCCGTGGGCGTGTATGAGCGTGTGCACGTGTGTGTGTGTACAGTATGTTTTTTATGCATGTTGTTTATCCTTTTACTTACTAGAACTGCACTGACCACTGAACCGATCTGCAAAGAGCTGGAACAAATGTGAGGCTCGCCCTCTTCCACTTCACCCTTGCGGTGCCACACTGAGTATGCAGGTAGAGACTGGGGTACATTCAAAGACAATGGGTGCTTTCTTTAGTACATGCATGGAGGTATGAGCAACTTATTTACATTTTTATATCCAGTGTATACAACCCGTTGTATGTCTGAGTTCATTTTGAATTAATGAATCAACTTGTGAGAAAAGTGAAATGAAGGACATTTAATAAATGCTACAATTGAAGAAGCTGTGAGGGAAACACTCTAGTTTCTCGCTGAGACTTAAATGACCAGGCTGATATGCTCACTCCCACCCTCTGTGTTCTGACTAGTAGTTCTCTAGTCAGAGCACAGTGTTGAATATAGTATATATGTCAATTAAATAAGTTTTGTAGTGTATAACACTCCCAGGGTTGCCGTACTCCTGTTCCCTGTGCAGGAATTGCCTTTTTTTTAATATCGTTATGAACAAGGGACAGCAAAACTGTTGGGTCAAATATGAATGTCAATCTCAATGGAGCCTGTGTCTGTACTGAGACACCCTCCGGTCATTTGGGACCCCTTCACCCAAGTTCTGACTGGTGTTTTTGACAACGCTTTTCATCCTAGTCAAATCAATGTATGTTGCTCTGTGCAACCTGAGTCTATCATGTGGGTGGTACCAAGCCAAGTTGTGAGACATGAATGCCTTTCAGTGCTAGAAATTCAGCAAAATTGTTCTTCCGAAATGTAGAAAGTGAAAAAGTCACAATAAATGTCACAATAAATGTATTACATTGTTAGTAGCGCAACCTGCCAACTACTATTATTACCACTATATTACTATTATAATCAATATAATTCTCAACATTGCCTGTATCTTTAGTGTAGAGCCATTCCTGGTAGCTAATTAGCTTAGCCTAGCATAAATCCTGGAAACACTAAAGGAGCTAGCATGGGGCTATTAGAGGATAACAGCTTATCTTAAGCTCATGGGTTTTGTTTTTTTAAAGCTAATGATGTTATATGTGGACATTTTAATACGTTTACTATTTATTTTTTTAAACTACTTCTTAGAACAACTTATCTGTATGACACTTTAAACTTCAGTGTTTTGTGTAGGTCAAACTAGTGATGTATAACATGCTAACTTATGAGCTAAAATGTGCTTGTAGCCTGTAATAAATAAATACAATAATACTAATAACAAAAATAAAATAAAAAAAGATCCAGGCTAGTTGTTTCCCCCTATTTCCAGTTTTTATGCTAAGCTAAACTGATGGGCTGGTAGTAACATTTTTAAATTTTGCTGCAGACATGAGTGTGATATCAGTGTTTTTATCTAACTCTTGGTAATGAGCAAAACATAATGGCTGCATTACCACAAATCTGTTTTTCTTCCTTAAGCACAAAGTCTTCTTTTTCAAGTAATACTTCATTACATTTCAGAAGATCATATTGATCATATCTTACTTTTTTTAAACACAAACCAATTTGTCTTCAGTATTTTTGAAAATCTGATTTTTTTATATGGGGATTTTCCTTTTCAGAATTTCTTTCAGGTGTTTACAGAAAAGTTATTAGGGATCTGTTCACATACAAAATTGTCTTTGAGGCTGTTTTTCACTGTTAGAAGTGGCAATGCGCAGCATGGACTAGTTAAAATTATTATGCAGATTATTATCTGCACCACAATATATTGTTAAAAAAAAAATGCTACCTACACAGTATGTAACACTATGAACTAGTTCATACGGTATGTTTACCTTTGATACTTACAGTAAACTTTGCTAAAAGCATTTCTAGTATTAATTTTACGGGTTATAATACTAACAATACAACAGTAAGAGCAAGTCTTCTCTTTTCATATCCTCCTGACAACTTGCTCCATCATGAATGACCACCCTGCATGCTGTGTTAAAGAATGCACCCAGTTATTTGACTAACTGCATTTGCCCCCATACAGAGGAAAAGAGACATTGTGTTTATTGCACGTGTGACCTGCAGTTTGATTAGGAAACACTGACACCTTGTGGCTGGAAAGAGAACTGGACCTCTGTCCTTATCAAAGCTGTAATAGTACAAATAGATAATGGTGTTAGGGATTTTTCTTATTAATCAGAACATGCAAGATATGTGTGTGTATAATGAAAATAATTGTATTTCTGTGTCCAGTTATGGTTCACTGATGCTTAAAAGTACCCACCCGTGTTACATTAGTAACATCATTAGAATTTGACCACTGAATAGAACTTTTTTAAGGCTTTATGTTTCATGCATTGATACTAACCGCAGATAGGTGGGTAGTCTCAGTTCTGCTTATTTTGTTCTGCTAAATTATGCTTATTTAAAGCAAAGTGCATCTGGGTGGATCTTGTAACAGGATTCATGTCAAATTTTGACCTAAAATATGTTTGAAATCATGTTTTAAAAAAATATTGCTGATTCTTAAACAAGAGAAAGTCCTTTCTAGTGTTGTAGGTTTGTCACAGTTTTAGTCAGAATTGTCCACAATGTGAAAAAAGTGTGAAAATTTACATACTGCTGGATTTTTCATTTAAAACAGGACATGCATAATCTGAGTGTGTGGTTGTTTCTGTAAATGGCCACTATCTACATTTTTAGTGCATACATTGTCTGATGAGATGAGATATGGATACTGTTTAAAATCAAACCTTTTTCAAAATTCAAAGATATAATGTCAGTTAATGTCCCACAGGTCTTTGATAACCTGTATAGAGTTACAGAGCTTAGAGTTTTAGAGGTTTTATGGACTGTTGCCCGTTTGGCACAATATCTTTGGTTTCTGAAGAATGTGAGCATGCTAAATAGACCAAAATCCATAAAACAGCTGGATTAACCTAAACCTACCCCTAACCAGAAAGACCCAGGTTAATTTTTTCAATTAAAAAATATAGTAATTAGATTCAGATAACTTTGTTTATTATAGTATTTAGTTTTATTTTATTTATTTAGTTTATTCTAAACTGCATTTATTAAAATTATGTAAATGTGGAAAACTGCAAATTTAGTTTGTGGGTTTTCTCTCCACAGCCATTTTTAAAAACAAGCTGCTCAGAGCATGTGTGTCCTGTTTCTAAAGCCCATAGAAAAATCTCCCAGTTATGCCTTTTTTTTTTTCTTCATGTTAAGCGATTCTGAACTGTTCAGTGTTTGCATGACACAAAGGCAGGATCCTTTATGTTTTAAACTCATTTAAAGCTGCAGTAATTGATATTTTTGGTCTCTTGGGGCAGGAGGAGATAAAGCAACATGTAACACCTCCCTATGAATCTTTCAAGAAATTTGGAAGGTGATTAGATGAGCAAAATGCCTTTCACCTTCCAAACCATGTCTGTGGAGAGTGTCGTAGCTGAAAAACCATAACAAGCAGCAGTCTGAGGAGCTTGGAAAGCTAGCAGTCAGTCAGCATGTCAATGGTTACACCTTCCTGTTGCCAGGCTAGTATGAAAAATGTGCGCATAAAAGGCACACTGGCATTAGTGTTGCTGAGTTGCTTTTGCTGCATGTTAAAAAATGGACATGTTGCCATTCCTTGGTAACAAACATGGAGAAAAACATGCAAGCAGCCTTTTTTTAAAAAAAATGAAAATAAACCAAAACAGTTCAAAGGTCTTTGAGTATTCCATAAAACTGTTTGTAATTCTTTCTGGATCCATCACTTTGTGGCCCCTTTAATGGGAAGCATGGTCATTGAAGCTTTTGCTTATCTAAAAATCTTGATTATAGCAGCTTTAAAGAGAAACTTAAAGGAATGCACCTGTACCTGAAATGTCCAGATGAAGTAGCTTTTTGCACTCCGTGTCTTTAGTTCATCTTTACTTCTACTGTTTTCTGACAGACTGGCAGACAGATCCACTGGTTGGGGGGGGAGGTCAGTGGCACACAGTAGGGATCTAAACCAGCAGTTATTCAAAGGTTTTGGCCTCCCGTTACTGTGTGTATTTGAAGTTGAAGTGAGTAGCAGTGAGGATATGTTGAGACTCTTTGTTGTACATTTCTCTCTCCACACAAACGAGGTGTCACAAGTATTACTAATGAGCACGAGGCTCCAGCAAAAGACAAACTCCTATGCAAAGAAATCCCAGACTAAAGCTTTTACCTGTTTCTAGGTTTTGCAGTTGACAGGTTTTATTATATTTTATTGGGTGATGTGTATTCCTTTCTTGTGAAATACTGAGTACAGTAGACCAAGACAGCTCTCATTTATGTCCTTTTTCCCCCCACAGCATTTTAAAATGTACTCTAAAAGAATTATTGTAAAGAAATGCATATATATATGAATAGTATACAATCATATTTATTTTTTCCATACATGTATTAATAATACCCATGTTTGAATTTCCTCTGCCTTAACTATAGTAGCTATAGAAAGGGACCTCTGTCAGACAGACCCGCCTTCGCTAGACCATAGTTCTCCTGCTCCTGGTTGTTTCCTCTTCATAAATAAGCTCACGTGGAATGAACGTCTAGTTACTGAATGTGTTCACACCACCTCACTGTACAGTAGAATGAAGGTGACGCCGATGCCTGTGATCGCTCACTGGCTTCTGTTCCACAGTGTTGCTGTCCTTACTTACAGGAATGATAACTAACGGTCCACGTTTTAGTTTGAGTGGATGGTGCCTTTTTTTTCTTTTTTAAATTTCATCAGCTAAACTTGTCATGGGGTTTTAATTTTGTATTTTCACACTTCCTCTGTCAGTCTTTTATTTTTCTTGTTACTATGTAGCATATTGTTAGCAGCTAAGTATCTATTTGATTTGACTGCAAAGAATCCTGATGCAGGATTGGCTGTTGTTTTCTCTGCTCATAGATATCGTCCTCACACATTACTGAAGCGCAGTTATGTTTTGAAATGCTGTACATAAAAAACATTTTAAGGACTTCTCATTGAGATATAGTAATTGTCTTCTAATGCACTGTCGTTGCTAAAATATCTAGTGGTAAATAAAAAATATGGTATTTAATGTTTTTTAATGTCTCGCTTTAGACACTAAACTTCTGGCAGTGCTATGAAAGTTAGAAGGTAGGTGTGTGCGTGTGTGTGTGTGTGTGTGTGTGTGTGTGTGTGCTGTGTGTGTGCGTGTGTGTGTGTGTGTGTGTGTGTCTGTGTGTGTGGAAGGACACTTACTTGTACAACGCTTTTATAAAATCTAGTGCACCTCTAGGCTGCCCGTCCTCTCACATCGCCTCTTTTTTGATAGTATTGCATGTGCCTGTCTTTTTCCAATGGAGAACATAAGCACTTACTGTCGCTCTCGCAACACTTTGTACAGGCGGACAGACGCTCCATCTGCAGAGTTGAAAGAAGTGATGCCATTTGCCTTTAAAAAAAAAAAAAAAAAAAGAAATTGGCATAAAAATCACAAAATGTTTCCACTGACACTCTGTCCCATTGTGGGAGGGGGATTAGAGAGGAAGCAGAAAAGTAACTCTTATTTAAAAACCTTTTTTGTAATTACCATCTGCAAATTTTGACTAAAGCTTTCAATAAAAATCACCTTTTTTTTTCAAGAGACTTTTCTTTGCCCAGGTCGCCATTGTAAATAAGAATGTGCTTATAATTACTTGCCTGGTGGTTAAGTTAAGGTGACACTGACTTGCTGCGCCACCTTGTGGTACAAATTGGTATTGCAAGGAAGTATGGCACGGTCCTAGTTTAACTTCATTTGTTATCTCTTTAACACATTGCATAGATGTTTTCATGGCAGCTGTTTCTTCACATCCTGTTGAAAGCTTTGGTTCATTTTTGAAGGTTTATAGTGTTTTTGAAAATGGGTATTTACAAAAAGTACCTTTTTACCCCCCCCCACCGAGCCACATCAGAGTAATGCTTTGCAGATTGGGGTGTCTGTCCATTTTTGACATTCTATCTGTATTACGTGAGTGCGTGTGAGCGTGAGTTTGAAATATACATATGGCCTAAATGGTATTGTCTTTTCATAGTGTTTATAGATAAAGCAGCAATAGGTCGGCGAAAAAGCGAAAATCCGAAAAAGTAAAAATTTATTTAGCTGCTTTTAGCAAACTTGTCCAAATTTCACTGTACAAATGACTGTTAAATGAGAAGAAGTCATGTATATTTATTTTATATCCTCTATTATAATAAAAGCCTCTTTTGTCTGAATCTGTTTCGTTGTGCAGTTGTTGGGAGAGTTGCTGCTTGACAGGGCAGCAACGTTGCAGCTGTTAGTATTCACCACTTGGCGGCACCCGAGGGTGTCTGTTTAATGTGCTGCTGAATCATTTTCAAACTATTCCTAATGTCAGTACTCAATATTCATAAACCTAAGTGACTTAGTCATTACAAGACCTAGAGTTTTTCCAGTTCACAAAGTTGTGCATCCATCAAGGATTTGATTATTTAATCATTTTTTTTATTCCAACATCCCATATATTGAATAACAGCATGAGTCAATGGTTTGGACGTTGTTCTCATTAAAGGGAAATGATAAGAGATAGGACCATAACGGTCTTATTTTATGCTATAATCTGCTTAGGATGTTGATGCTTTGAATGTGTGCCTGTCCCAGCTGACCTTCAGCACGCTACAACTGGCAAGGTCCATCACATGGACTACTATACCTGTCTGTGGACTGTGGGAGGAAAGTGCAGTACACACATTCACTGGAAAAATGTTCAACGGGGGGGTTCAAGCCAGGAATTTTCTTAAAAACCACTGCACCACAGGTAGGAAACTATCACAGGAAATAATGTGGAAAATTAAATACAGCTGAGATAACAACAGTCCATCATCACTTCAGGACACAAATAGGCATGGTTATTTCAAACTCCCTTTTTTGGTTCTTGGACTCTACTAGACTCGCTTTGCATCATTCAAAGTTCATAATAATCCACCTCTGTCTGGTTGGTCTTGGTTTGTGAAGCGAGAGGTGGATCTGTGAAACCACGTGCCTGTTGGCTTGTAATTGACATGTTGTGAGCCAGGGAGTGTATAAAGAATGATCCTCATTCTTGAGTTGTAGAATAACCAAAACTGACAAAAGACTACAGTGGTGTGAAAAGCTTTTGCCCTCTTCCTAATTTCTCTTTTTTCATATTTGTTGCACATTTCAGATGATCAAATAAATTATAATATTATGTAAAGATAACTCAAGTAAAGACAAAATGCTGTTTTAATGATGATTATTGATTTACTACCTGGCTGGGTGTGAAAAAGTAATTACTCCCTAAACCTAAAAACTGGTTGCGCCAGCTTTGGCAGCAAAAACTGCTATCGAGTGTTTGTGATAACTGGCAATGAGTCTTTCGCATCACTGTGGAGGAATTATGGCCCACTCTTCTTTGCAGAACTGCTCGAGAGTTATTGAGCATGAATGGCTTGTTTAAAGTCATGCTAAAGCATCTCAGTCAGATTTAAATCTGGACTTTGACTAGGCCACTCCAACACCTTTCTTTCACGATTTTCTGGTAGAGAGCAGGAAATCCTGGGATGAATCAGTGTTGTACCTACACTTAACAGACAACTGAGCAAAGAACAGATTTTAAATCTCAGCCTGCTACAAAAACACATAAGTTTGTTCCTATTTCTTCAGTTGAAACTATAAAAATGCCAACGATAACAAGTATAAAACTGTATTTTTCCACCAACAAGGTGATTCCCAGAGATATTAGCGTTAAACTTGGCATATCTTGGTATTGATCCTAAACTTACTGCCAAAGCCAAAGCATACCTGGATAGAAAAACACATACAACAGCCCTTTGTCAGTCCTGGGTTGGGTTCCCCAAAATCTGGACCTCAACATAATTGAAGCAGTGGGTTGACTGCGGATCAGGAGGCAGGTCAGGTCATCTACTAACTTGAAGGTTGGTGCAGTTGGTGGTTGATTTCATCCCTGGCTTTTCCAGTCTGCTGAACCCTAAGTTGCTCCTATATAAGGACCTTACATTTACCAGTGTGGTAAATGGAAATTAAAGAATAGCCTGCCTAAGAGTTGGAGCTGTGTTGAAGAATAAAGATGGTTGCATCGAATATCGACTTCTATGCGTATTAGAACTGTACAAACTCTGTTTTTGGCTTCTGTATTTCCATGTATGTTTGCACATGTTGCTCAAGACTTTTGGACAATACCGTACCTGCAAAGCATCCTGCCAAAGAGCCAATAGTGTGCAAATGTCAGCGGTGATGGGTGCTAGCATAAAGTGATAAAGTATATTTTAGTCTGATTTATGGAGAAGTAAAGACTGGATGGACTGCAGAAAGTCAGCCTGTCCTAATTACTATCCCTGCTGGTGTTATAGGGTTACACACACTGGAGCGAATGTCTTTGGATGATCTAAACACTTGTACCAACCAACAAGACATTCCAAAGGATGCGTCAAGTAAGCACTACATTCAGTTCTCCTTACAGGCTGCTGGTGTAAAACCACTGCAGACAAGCTGAGACTTGGCATCAGCTGCACGAGTTCTGGCAGAGGCGCTGGATTGACAGATCAGCCTGCGGTGTTACTGCTACCACTTGAGGGAAATTTATGACTTGGCTCAGAGAGAACTCAGCAGAACGTGTTAACACAGATGGCCCCATTTCCTACTTCAGGTGCTGCAATAGCAACTAAAGAGCAAACTCATCCCACACGTGTAGCTTCCAGTTTAAACCCTACCACGGGCAGGGTTCAAACTGACCCTGGACCTCAGCATAAATTCTCAGAATTTGCAACTGCTATTTAAGGGATTGTACTCAGTTTAGGAAGAAATGCTTTGGTCTAATTAAAACTATCAGGAGCTTTGGTTTGGTAGTGATTCTGTTCAATAGCACCGACAACGACTTGTATGTACATGCAACTGACAGAGTATGACAAAACTTGCTGTGACAGACATTGCGTGCTGTAAATATAACTGATGTACAGCGTGGCCTGGCATCAAATAAGCGTTTAACAGAACACGCCTAAGCCAAAAGGAAAGTCCGGTGAGATGGTGAAACCTGGCCAATAAACCATGTGTGCTAGAAGAGGTTCTTCAATGTTCTTCTATTAGCCCCCTAATTTCTGGCATGTTTTTAGACAGGTGATCGCTTATATAAATAGATGTACCCAGTTTGTAATAATGAAAGTATATCTATAAGTAATCTCCTCTGTCACACCAACCCTCTGCATGTCCTCCTTCACATCCTTTGTCCAATATATCCAGCATCTCTCCTGTGCACATGTACAAACCATCTCATCCTGCCTCTCTAACGTCGTCTCTAAACCACTCAGTCTGAGCTGTCTGCTGATGTACTCATTTCTAGTCCTGTCCATCCTACTTACTTCCGATGAAAATCTTCAACTCTACCACCCCCAGCTTCTTCTTCTGCCTTTGTTAGCGCTGTTGTTTCCAAGTTATACATCATGCTATGTCTCAGTACTATCTCGTAAACCTTCCTAGCTACATTCTCCCAACAAAAGCTTTGAGTCTCTTATCACTTTCACACTGCATCTTTTTCGTGAAGTATGTATTCACCACAGCCATTTCCATTCTTCTTTCCACATCTCCTTAACACCATACCTACCCAACCCCTCCTCATCACCCCTTTGATTTCAAACTCATGTTCTAAAACTCTCTTTGTCAGCCCATTTATCCTGTCTTGGGAGTGGTACTAGAAGTGCACTGGCCTCCCCATGGCTAAGTTTATACCAGTGTTTTAACTGATAATATATAACATTTAGATCAGCTTTTACATTTTCACTTGGTTATATATATTATATTACCCACAAGTTTGCAGAGCCACTTTTTTATTTTAGATTTGTCTTTTTATTACTATTTTTTGTTTTTGACCCAACATTGTAATGGAGTTTTGTGTTTTTGCTCTTTCACAGAACCACATATTCTGTTTACTAATAAATATTTTATACTTTTATACTCATAATTTGCCTGTTGTTTACATTCTCATCTTTTTTTCTTACTATTTTTCGTCTTTAGTTGTAGTTACAGTTACTGCTTATATTTGATTTGACTACTTTCCACTCTTGTCTTTTCCCCATGTGACCCCTTATTTACTTGTTATTGTTATTTAATAATAATAATAATAATAATAATGTATACTTTATTCCTGTGTTACTTTGCTAGTTAGTTGTCTTCTGTGTCTTGCAAGCTGTTTTCCAGGTTGATAGTGTGTACTGTGTCTAATCCTCATTAGTGGGAGGGTGGGAGAGAGTTCCTTTAATTGCGGAGTGCCACAGTGTCTTTTAACCTCACGCCAATGCTTCTAGACTAGGGGTGTTAAACACAAGGCCCCGGGCTCAGAGGTATCGATGTACCTCTGAATGTGGCAGTATGTAACAGCTGTCGCTTGTTAGTGAAAGCCACATTGCCACCTTTAAGTATTAATAAAGGTTAAACAGGTGAGTTTGCCATGTACGATTGTAATAAAGGGGCACGCTATCCTTAGAGGCCAAAACCTGTAAAGTTGGGCGTTTTAACATGGGAATCTACTTGAGAGCAAGCCATTCGTAACAGCATTTCGAGGAACTGCAGTCACTTTGTCACTACCATGGTGACTTCATTTTTGACCTCTAGAGCAGGGGTGGGCAAACTATGGCCCGCAGGCCACCTCTGGCCCTTTGATCTTTTTATTCCGGCCCGCTGAAGTTTGGTGTGTCTCATCCATGTCTCAAGCCATGAAGTTGCGGGGCGGGGCACGGAGTATGAAGTTACTGTAATTAAGTACTCATTTGCGCTGTTAAAATTGAAAACTGTACCACCAATAGCCCGGGCTACTCTCTGTTGTTACTCTGCTACTACTCTGAACCTATCTGCAACAATAAGTGGGCGAAAGAAAAGAAAAGTCGACAGTGAGTGCAGAGTGTTTAACAAGGAATGGACAACTAATTACTTTTTCACAGAAGTTTGGTTAAAGGCTGTATGTCTGTATTTGCCAAGAAACCATTGTGGTCTTAAAGGAATACAACATGAGCCGTCACTTTTCCACCAAGCATGCTAATTATGCTAACAACCAGTTGACACAAGAACACACGACTACCGCTCAGAGATTAGCAGCTAGTTTGCAGGTTCAGCAAAACACCTTTATCCAACAAACTACCATCCAAGAATCAAGCACGAAGGCAAGTTATATACTGAGCCAAAAAGTTTGCCCACACCTGCTCTAGAGGCTGGTCAAATTCTGTGT